ACCTGAACTAAGAGGACAGCAAAGTGACACTTCTGAGACTAGGCAAAGGGAAGGTGGGATTCTGGGACCCAGTATGATTGTAGGAGCCAGTCAAGAAAAGACAGAGGTATATAGCAGTTTTCATTTAAAAAAAGACCTACACATTAGATGCATTGGTTGAAGTGTTTTGTTAGAATGTCATTCAGCACGTTGATGAAGACGACACTTCCATCAGACTTCAGCTTGAATGCAGAAGTTTGAACGGCCCTTAAACTGAGATCTGGAAATGTGAGCACGCTGTTTTGTTCCTGTGATAGCAGGGAACCAGTAAAAATATCGGCCACATTTTTTAAAAAGACTTCTTGGAATTAATTAGATGAAGGCATGAAAGTGCCGGGGGTATTTTTAATTCATATGTCCTCCTGCTAGAAAGTAGTCTGGCACAAACCCCTTTTCACAATGGTGTTGATCTCTTTCACAGTGTACTCAGATAACTAGGAGAAGAACAATAGATAAGTAAAGGCTCTTGAAAAGAGATATTGATATGAGTTAGAATAACGGCTAAGAGTGGCAAATGACCGTCATTGTTGACTTCAGCTACTAGGCAGAAGGGTTGAGATGACCACTGCGAGCTCATTTCTTTTTTGGAGCCACCAAATCACAAGGCTGTGGAAAACACAAGCAATATCTGTTAAACCATATTTGTAACACCAGGTTAGTGGCTGACCCTGCTTCCAAGCTGTGCCAAGATCAAGCTAGTCAGGCTGCTAGGTATTCACAAATCTGTCTTAAAATATCACTTTCTACACATATGATTCTTGTATAATATAGTTAATGTACTTAACGCCTTCTGTCTTGCTTTTCTCTCAAATAGGGACCCAAAAGTGGTCTATCTCATTGTGCTCCCCTCTTCCACTTTATCCTCACAACAAACCTGTGAGGTACATTTGAGAGATTGTGCGAGGGTTGCCAGCTCCAGAATGGGAAATTCTGGGAGCCTGGGGGGATGGAGCCTGGGGAGGACAGGAACCTCAGAGGGTGTCGGGCTCTCCCTTGGACTTCGGTATGGCGCCCCCTGTGGCCGTGGTGGCGGGGGTCTCAACCGGACTCCGGCAGGGGAGACGGCCCTGGAAGTGGCAAGATCCCAAAAGGGAGAGGGAGTGAGGGGCCTCAGATAGAGTTAATGTCACCCTGAGCATCCCTCTGCCAGCATGCTGCGGACTCCTTTTCTCTCTCTCTGCCGTCCTTCCGTCTCTCTCTCGTCAGCGTCCCACTTCGTTCCACAGCGCACTCCTCCTCTCTGGCCCCTTCTCCACCCTGCCTTTTATCTCCCCGCCCCGCTCCCACAACCACCCATCCGCTCTCCGGCCCGGGCCACGCCCTCCTTTATCGGGATGCCGGTGGGGCGTCTCTGGGGTGAATGCTCTGCAGCAGTACTCGCTGCTCTGCGCCCGCTCTCGGCCCGTCAGACAAGCTGCTGCCGCCCTTTTCTTCTTCCATGGGGCTGCTTCGTGGACCCCGGTCTTGTCTCCAGGCTCGGCTGACACAGCACGCAGCGGGAGGGGTCCCCGCTCCCGCCTCGGACCGCTGAACTCTGTTCCGCCTGGTGAGTCATGCCTCGGGTGTCTTGCGGGGTCTGAGTCCCCGGGGGCCGGTCCGCACGGCCCACGACCTCTGGAGCGGGACAGAGGGGTACAATTCCACAGATCTCTGTAGTCTGGAATAATAATTATTATTATCCTTATTGTATGACAGTGTGTGTAGTATAGCCAGGAGCTCCTAAGATTGTCTGGCAGCCTAAAGTTGTAGCTCTTTTAGCATTATGCACCACTAGGTGGTGAGCTAAACTTATTTTGGGGCTGGGAGAGCACCGAAAAAGCTGTGACTGACCCAAGGTCACCCAGCTGTCTTCATGAGGAGGAGTGCGCAATCAAACCTGGTTCTTCAGATTAGAGTCCGTTGCTCTTAACCACTACATCACGCTGGTTCTCTTGGTAGTCTGGAGATAAACTGTAATTCCAGGAGATCCCCAGGCCCCACCAGGAGACTGAGCTCCCTAATTGCAATAGGCCCAAAGTCACCTGGCACGTTTCCCATGGCAGGGCAGGTCCTAATCTAACAGTCTATCCTAACGCCATGCCAGCTCTCTTACTGGTCTATAATGGGCAATACACTATTGTATAATGGGCAATACACTAAATCCAGGAGGGGATCACAAAATCTGATTTGGTTTTTCTCATATGGCCAGGTTCATAAGGTGTTTAGCAAGATTCAGTCTATTGTACCTAGCAGAAGCAGTTCATAAAACAAATATAGATATCTAATAAGGCTGTATGGAGCTGCGGTGGCTCAAGTGGTTAAGATGCTGAGCTGCAGGCTGTGGAAGGTTGGTAGTTCAGCAGTTCGAGACCCGAGTGTGCCGCATGATGGAGTGAGCTTCTGTCTCTAGTTCCAGCTCCTGCCAACCTAGCAGTTCGAAAGCAAGAAATTGCAAATAGATAAATAGGTACCACTTCAGTGGGAAGGTAACAGCGTTCCGTGCTCCTTGGTGTTTAGTCATGCCGGCCACATGACCACGGAAATTTCTTCGGACAGCGCTGGCTCTTCGGCTTTGAAACGGAGATGAGCACCGCAACCCTAGAGTCGGATTCGACTGGCTTTCGAGCAAGGGAACCTTTACCTTTACCTTTAATAAGGCTGTAGATGGTACAACTTGCTTCAGCAAGACCTTAGAACCCAAACCTACAAATAATTATGCATGATATACTACTACTACTACTACTACTAATGATAATAATAATAATAATACATTTTAAATATAAGGAGATTATTGTCATTATACAAAGCATTAAATCTTCCATCTGATCATTTGTAAGCACCCTGTCTCATTTTTCTTGACTATTTCTGATTTCTCAGTTCTGCACACACAACCTTAATTTTGCAGTTCGCTGGACTTTTACATTAAGTCTGCAAATCTGAAATGTTTTTGACCTTGAAATGAATTTGACTGAAGTTGATGTAGGAGTGTACAGCAGTGAAGCTATATAAGATTCTTTGGATTAGAAAGATAAAGTAGGAAAGTCATTGGATGATAGCTCAGGACCTCATGTAAAAACAGAAGAACAAAAATAGAAAAAATAATTTCAGTTTTAAAATAATTTTAAATAAGTTCAGTCTCTGCCATCTTCATTTAAAATGATCTTAAACAGTAATAAACAGTGATGGCCCAGCTCTATACAACAATTTCAGAAGCTTATTTTATTGCTGATGCTATGAATGAGGTTCAAAGATTATCGTCAGACTATGGAAGTTAAGCGGTGAAATTTCCAACATAAGGACAGATGGTGGAGGGAGAGCAGGGAGAGAGATGGTAATGTGTTTAGGTAACTTAATAATAGCTCTCCCATTGTCTTGGTAAGTGCTCAAACGTTATCTTACTATACATTATCTTACTATCCTTACAACAGCCCTTTAAAGTAGGACTGTATGGATACACTCACGTTACAGGGGGAAGAAGAACAAATAAGGCAGAGAGATAATGGTTTGCAAAAGGCCACCTAGTGAATTCAAGGCTAACAAGCTGAAATTTGAAGCCAAGAATTTCTGCTTCACAGTTCAGTGTCTAAACTGCTCTCTGGTTTGCCCTGAGGACTCTAATCTTGTTATCCTAATCCTGTTTATCGATTTGGGTCTTGCCCTAAATGGAAGCACAAACAGCTGACCTTTGAGAGAGGAGGCCTTGGCCTGGCTGCTTCTGAGCTACCCCCAAGCTACCTTTCTCCTTCTTAGGTTAAGGTAATACCCATGTCTGGGCTGTACCACTTCAGGCTGCACAGAGGACTAACATATCTGAATAAGATTTTTTTTAAAAAGTCTTGCGCACACCTAGCACATTTCCATGCAGTTACTCCATTCTAACACCACTGACATGAATGAGCTTAGACAAGAGTATGTCTGCAAAGGATTCCACTACTAGAAAGGTGATTGTCAGAGCCATTTGACTGAAACCTCTTGGGGGGGTGGGGTGTTGAAATCTTATTTTTCTCTGTGGAGAGATCCTGACTAGGCCAATGTATGGAGCAACACTCAGCGTTGCCTAGTCTGTGTGACTGTACATAGCCCCTAGGTAAGTTTTACCACCTCCATGAAATCTAGGTTCATGGTGGCCTTAGATCCTGCCAGTGTTTCAGCCCTTCATTTAAGCAGATTCCTTGCCCCCCACCCACCCCCCATGTGTGTCTGTATGGATTCCAAGGGGAAAGGATCCCATTCAGAGGTGCCCAATGCCTATCCGTGTGGAGTCTTAATTTGAGGAGGGACAGGAGACCTCGCAGACCCCTCTGCCTGGCCCAAGGTGTTTCCTTCCTCACCGGCCCTGTCTAATCTTTCTTTCTCTCCCGCCAGCCCCCCAACTTTTTTTTCCCAGGCGCAGCTGAGGCGACCTCCAACCGCCTCAGCCTGCGGCCCGCCGCCGCCGCCGCTCCTCCTTACCCGCCCACATTCCCACACCCTCGTGCCCCTGGGGGGCTGTTTAGGCTCCTCCCGTGTGTGCGAGTGCGTGTGTGTCGGTGTACATGCGTGCCTGGGGCGGGCAGAAAGGAATCCCCCCCCCTTTCGCTTCACTCACTCCCCCGGAGGAGGGGAAGGGGGGGGGAGGAAAAAAGAAAGCCTGGCAGGAACTCCCTGCCCCGACTTCTCTCCCTCTCCCTCTCTCTCTCTCAGGCTGCAGCAGCAGGAGGGATGGGAGCCAGGACAGAGTGAGAGCCGCGAGCGCCGAAGGGAGGCAGCTGTGAGGGGAGAGCGAAGGGAACGGCGAGAAGAAGAGCCGGGCGAAACTTTTCTCCTCTCTTTCTCGACTTGAACCGAGGAGTGTGGGGGTGTGTGGGGGGGTGTCTCTTCTTCGTTGGCGCCGTTGACGGAGCGGGGGGGTGCGGCGGGCGGGGAGGGGGAGCGGACGTGTCCCCGGAGCAGAAGGAGAGCGAGAGGGGGAAAGGTCCGTGTGGGGCGCAGCAGCGCTGGACATGAGCAAGTCGCGGCGGGCAGCGGCCAAAGAGCAGGGGGCAGCCGCCTCCGCCTCGTCGCCTCTCCAGGGTCCCGAGAAGAAGCGGAAGGGCAAGAAGGGCAAAGGGGGCGCCGGCAAGAAAGGCGCCGCTCGGGAGGAGGACGGGCCAGGTAAGAGAAAGAGCGCGGGGGAGAGACGCGGGGTTAGGGGGTGTGGATGGGGCTGGCGACGAGCGCACAGGTGGCGGCCTGGCCTGAAGCCCCTGAAGAGGTGGCGCGGAAGGGGGGGCGACGTTTGTGTGTGTGTGTATGCAAAGTTGTCAAACCGGCGTCGTTTCGCCTTCCCAAGCCCGGGCTGAGGGGACGAGCGGGGGTTTGGGGGCTGCCTCTCTCTGGCAGCGCCTTCTTCCCGAGGGCCAGCTGCCCCCTGGCGAGCGCCTGCTCCTCGCTGGCTCCTCTCGAGGCATCGAGCCCTAACCGAGCAGCGTGGTGGTGTCGCCGCTAGGGAAGCAGGTGGTGGTGGTGGTGGGGAGGGCCACTTCTCCACACCTGATCCAAAATACAGGGAAGCAGAAGGCTTTGCTCCTCACCCCCGCCCCCCCCCGACGGGGAGGCAAAGCAGGATCCAGGGGCAAGGGGGCACTTTCGAGACTGGCGTTTGTTCCCGCATAAGCTTTTGCCAGCCGCGTCTTCGGATGCAGCGCGGTTCGTGCGCATCTCTGTAAAGGTCGAAGACAGGAACATTACTTTTGATTAAGACCAGCCGAAGTAAAACTGCACAGTGGGCGAGCTCTCCAGAACTCTCCATCAGGGTGGATGTTTAAAAAAACACACACTAAAGAAGAGGGGGATCTCCCCCTCCCAAACAAAAGACCACCTTTCAAATAACTCCCCCCCCCCTTTTAACATCCGGCCTGACCAAGAGTTCTGAAGAATCTAGAAGCTTACACAGTGTGTTTTTGATTGGCCTGAATAAAGGGCAAGTTTTGTTTTTGTTTTTGGATTTTGCTCTGGACCAACACTGCTGCTTAGTTTATTTTGCTCTGTAAATGTTCCCCTTTTGACAGTTGCTCTTTGCACTCTGGTTGCAAGATCAGTTGGGGACAGAAAGAATGCTATCCATGTGCCCCTCCACGTGTTCTCCATTAACCCTAATAAATTCTCCTAGAGGGAGCAAGTCACAACTTGTTGCTGTACATTTAATCCTGCAACTGTAGGCCCTTTTACGAAAGTTGCTTGCCCTTGGTAGAAGTTACTTTTGAGTACATGTGTCCAGGATCTTGCTGCACAGGGATGAGTGGCAAAATACTGGCATCCTGCTGTTCCTTCTAGGGTTTTGGTTTAGCAAGTGTTGAGTTATCTCATTTGCCCTCATGACAACCCTATGAGGAAGAACAGTTTGAAAGGCAATGACTTTCCCATTCATAAGTTGGGGCTTGAATCCTTAATATACGCATAACTAATCAAAGACTTGTGCCCATTTACCAAGTCTAGTGCCATCCACTATACCACACCAGGTTGTCTCCAACTTTTATGTGCACTTTTTACGCGCTTTATGTACTTTGATGAAGAGAAGGTTCTAAGCAATGTTTGTGATCTGAGTACAGAAATGGGCTAGCAGTAAGGAAGCTGTTCTGGACTAATTAACATAGGAATTTAAAAAAAATTACTTGTGTGAATGTAGTTTATATTGTGCCAGTCAGCACAGTTAAGTAGTAAAAGAAATGGCTATCAGTGGTGCTTGAAGTTTGGATTCTAACAGCCATGGATAAATATTTGACCAGATAAAAAAGACTCTCAGCTGATTAATACAGAATAGAGGTTTGTAGGCTTGAATATGTGGTGTAGGACTTTTTCGTGCCAGTATGATGCTTTGTTTCTGGAGTACCCACACACAAGGGCTCTATTTTCTGTTAAGATTAAACTGTTGAGGTTTTGAGGTTGTTCTTTGATTTTCATTCTTAGAGTTGCTTCATTATGAGAAAAGTATTATATATTCCCTAGTAATTAATAAGGAGGTATGAGAGATGCTATACCTGAGAAAGGTACTGTGCCCAACTGTTTCTTTTCAGAAGGCCAGAAGAAGTCACTGTAAGTTCATCCCCATTTGCACAGTTCATCTCAGGTATTTGTACCGAACATTGCATCTGCTATTGATAGGTATTTAGATTTTAACACCAGCCTCTTACTAGAGGAGTAAAAATGCTACTTGGATGGAACTCTTCTAGGCATAGTTTCAGCTGCAGACCAGCAATGTAAGCATCACTCATTTAAGCAGCCTGTTATCCCAAAGAGAGGAGCTGCGGTGGCTCAGGTGGTTAAGACGCTGAACTGCAGGCTGTGGAAGGTCAGTAGTTCAGCAGTTCGAGACCCGGGTGCTGCAAGACGGGGTGAGCTCCCGTCTAGTTCCAGCTCCTGCCAACCTAGCAGTTCGAAAGCAAGAAATTGCATGTAGATAAATAGGTACCACTTCAGTGGGAAGGTAACAGCGTTCCGTGCACCTTGGTGTTTAGTCATGCCGGCCACATGACCACGGAAACGTCTTCGGACAGCGCTGGCTCTTTGTCTTTGAAACGGAGATGAGCACCGCAACCCTAGAGTTGGACTCGACTGGCTTTCGAGCAAGGGAACCTTTACCTTTACCTATCCCAAAGAATACATATTTGTGTGAGGATATAACACCTTCTAAATGAAATGTGCAATGTAGTGCTGGAAAACAGTTGCCAGAGTAATTACTCGTAAGTCAGTCCTTTTAATTTCAGTGGGAATAACTTTCAAGAAAGTATATTTAGGGTTGCTGCCAAATTTTTTCCCTGTAATTTCCAGTGAAATGCAAAAACAGGGAATATATCTTTTATCATATTTACTTCTGTGTAACTTTAAAACCTGGAAAGACGTAACACGAGCATTAATTAGTCTGCTGACAGAGGCCTCTAGTGTAGTGCAGAGACCGGGACTTCCACTAACAATGAACTCACTAAGTGGACATAGGACCAAACTAAGTAAGAAAGCACGAGATCTATAATCAGAGCTCACTTAAAAATAAATAAAAGCAGCCAGAGAGAGATCATAGTTGAGCTACTGGGTGGGAATTTATCCTTTCCCCATTTCCCAATTTTAAAGTCCCCTTCAAGCTGCCCTTTGCCCACTGTGGGGAAATATGTAGGTACTGGAGCTGAAAAGAACAGTTTTATGGAGAGAGCAATTTTAAACTAGAAAAATAGTGTAAAGAAAAGGATTAACTCCCCCTTCCAGCACCAGTACTGCACTGCTTCATTGCAGTAGCCCAATATTAATTTCCCCTTCAACTACTTTTTTTTTCAGTAGGAGATCCAATCATAGACGTCCCCTGGCTCATCTAGTTTGGTGCTGAATCAAGCTACAAACCAACCACTATTTGATATGAACTTGAAATCATTCGGGTTGTGCATTCCCCCCTCCTCTTCTCCTCATGTGTAGAGCCATAGTTGAAGAATTTCTGATTAGGAAGTCTGCAATCTGACCATAATTTGTGGCTAAACGTCAAACCATAGTTTGGTCCCAGTTTATGGGTGTCTCCCCATAACTTGTTAAAGCACTCAAATTCAAACATCATGTCAAATTGTGGTTAGATTGAAGACTCCCTAAACCAACCTCCTCATAAGAAGGAGGAGGGAAGAGGCAGTGAGGAGGCCCAGGATTTTAAGCTTATTCACAAATAAACTGTGGTTTGTTTGTGACATCTGAATACAGCTTCTGCCCCTCATCTACAATATAGGAAAATTTATATTGGTCTGCCCTAAAGGGTTGTTATAAACCAAGACTGCCTATGCGATATGCTTTGATCCCATGAAATGTGTTGCGTAAATGCTGTATTATTAATACTGTTTTGTTACCTCGTATTCTGTGGAATCAACAAAGCAATTGCCATTTCTTTGGGTATATGCCTAATTGCACAAACTACAATGTTACATAGTTTCAAATTTGGAATGGGAATATTAGCTTTCCATTGGAGATAACTTTGGTTTTAAAAATCTTACCAGGTTTCGGCTCGCAATCACCTGTTGTCAGATTATATACATTTAGAAACCTCTTCTTTCCTTTTGCCTCAAAACTTCTGTGGTTGGTAAATACGAATTCTGAATTGATAGTCACCAGTGCTTTCTAAGTGGTTTGAGACAATCCCAAGGAGAACAACCTGTGTGTATTGATGCTGTTAGAATGTCCAGTTTTAATACCGGAAGGTATCAGGATAGAAGGACATTAGGGAACACTTTTTGATAGGATTCATTGTTCAGGGGTTTATAAGGTAGATAATGTTGTAAAACACTGCCCTCCCCTGTTATTTTTACAAACTGTATTGTTCTAAATGCCAGAATCATGAAAGTGATGATGTCATTCTCAGTTATAAGCAAATCTATGGGGACAAGTGAAGCTTGATCCTGAAAACTGCATGCCTCTATAATCTCATTTATTTTGGTGGAACAGTGTATTAATACATGCTTTTAGTGTTAATGTTCCAATGGGTTTGAGTGGTGTCATCCTTCTTTCTCTAGAAGTTGGTTTTAGCTTTTGACTTCTCTTGTTTGTTTTTAAGTTATTATAAGGCACTGTAGTTCATATTTAAATTTATAGCAATAGGAACCCACTATATTGTTGCTGACGAGCAATTCTGTAGTGGAAATAAAACCCCAGGTGAAGTCAGGTACATTTTGCTTGAAACTAAGGCACAAGTTTTATAGTTTACATTTGAAAAGGTGCCAGATGGTAATGAAAGAAAACTGAAAATGGATTGGATCCTTAGTTGGGGTTGGGTAGGGAGAAGGGCATAAAAGGACATCACGCAAGGAGAACAACTTTGGAAAACTGCATTACCAGAAAGCTTTAAAAATAAGAAAAATCGACTTTTGAGATTACCTGTTCAGAAAAGATTTGCAATGTAATCCTAAACAGAGTAACACCTGCCATTGAAGTCAATGAGTTCAGAAGGGTATTATTCAGTAGGATGGCATAGTGTTTCCATTCATAGAAGTGAGGACAAGAACATCTAATTCTCGGCTAAAAACCTGGACACATTATATAGAAATAAATCTTGATTTTCAGCAAGATTTACTTTCAAGGGATTGGATCCTGTGTATCCATTCTAATGGTAGCTTCTTCCCCCGTTACAAGAAGGTCTACCAGATGAGTCG